CCAAAAAAGGAATTTCTGTTGTAATAGAATGCAGTAGTCATGTTGCTTTTTTCTTTTTTAAAGGCTCTATTTAATGAATACCTTTTAAATAAAAAATTTGCAAATATGACAATTTGAAGTTACAGTGTTAAAACTTACAGGTTAGTGTTTTAGATGAGGTCACATACCCAAAACACTGGAACTTCTAAATAAATGTTTTAAATACACCACCTTACAGTTCTCATCCTTATAAAAAGTGTCAGTTTTTTCCTTCCTTCCTCATTTTATTCCAAAATATTAGAAATACAGAGGAGAACTTGGAATAAAAAGTCCTCTTCCTCTCAGAAGTTTGGTATGTTTTAGATGTTGGGCTGTGTGAACTCTTTTTATGGGATTGATAAAGCTTTATCTTAAGCAGTTGCTAAGTGAGGTTTATTTATTTATTTATTTATTTATTTTCCGGTACCAATAATCGAATTCACGACCTCGCACTTGCCAGGCAGGCGCTGTGCCACTGAGCTAAATCCCCAGCCCCAAAGTGAGGTTTTTTTAATAGCGAAAATCTTTCAGTTTTGCTAACCCTTGTGAAATAATTCTACAAAAATATCATTGTTAAATATATAATACATAAGCGTTTAGATTTCCCATTGCCTAAATACGTAGGCATTGAGGTTTCCCATTGCCATCAGAGAGTATAAAGTTCAGAAGGTTTTAATTTTGGGGATGTTAATGCAGAAAATCTTTTTTTAAAATCCTTTTTTAAAGGTTTTCTAAACCTTTATGTGTTTATTTATTTGCATAGACAGTACTAAGACAACTAATTAAGTCACCAGAATAAAGGTCAGGCTACAAAAATTATGAATAGAAATTGGAACATTACTCATAGTGTGCAGGACACTATACAGTTTCATGAATATTTTGGTCTTAAAAATGAATAAAAAGCAGTCCCTCAGTAAATGTCTCCCCACCCCAAATTCCTCCATAGGTATACTCCCTCTGAATTAATAAAAGCAGTACAGTTTAATGAGTACAGATTATGTTTAATGAGTATGCAATCAACAAATGCTCACTCCCCCAGACCCCAAAGGTAAGTATGACTATTAGATTTTCTATGCTTCATCTTATATATATATATATATTAGATTTTATATATATATATAAATTTTTGTACATAGTAATATATATATATATATTGGTACTAGGACTTGAACTCAGGACCTTACACTTGCCAGGCAGGTGCTTGTACTGCTGAGCTATATCCCCAGCGCTATATTTCTATATGTAATCATGAATTCATGACTTTTCCAGAGTGATTAAATGCTGACCAAAATATTTTTTCTCCCTTCCTGACCTTCCTGTTGTTATTGATTATTGTTATTTGAGGTAAGATTTGCCTTAACTTTGCTCTCACATAGATCTAGGTTCAAGTTACAGATGGACCTTGCTAATCCCCATCCCTGTCCCAGCCTCACCTGCTCCCTATCCCAGGGAGTGTCGTACCTACTTACCTTCACTGGGATGTGTGAGGAGAAACAGGAAGATCTTTGTAAAACGCTAAGTACACGTGGCAATCTCCAAGGACAGTGGTGACTGTGAGGTAGTGATAAAGTTTAAGAATAGCCTAGAATATTAAAGACAGCCAGTGACAGTAATTCAGTGAATGTTGAGCCAACGTTCTGATTGTAGTGAAGTATCTCATTTCCATGGAGTGGAAAATCAGCAGCAGAAAAGAATGACTTGCCAAGCCTTGCAGCCTCCCTTCTCAATCTTCCCTTTAAGACAAGACCTGTCTCTCAGGCCTGCTGCTATCTAGGAAGACACGGGAGTCGGTTCCCATGTTGAGTTCTTGTCATGTTCTTTGTATCGTAGGCTTTACACTTTGGAGAACCTTTTCCGGGGGAAGTCAGTGTCCTACAGGCGGGTGACTTTAAGATGTGCACTCAGTGTTTTTGTCTCTATGGAGAATGGTTCTGTGATTCTAAAAATATCTTTCTACTTTCAGCGGAAGAGTATTGTATTGACATTTTCACAATTTTAAGACAAACTCTGTAAAAGCAACCATAAGTTTTCAAGGGAATAGAGAGTTGAAAGGCCTAAAGGATCCTTTACAAAACAGTGACTAAAGATACAAGCCAAACTTGTAAATGAGGAAATAATAGTCAGAATCTTTGTCTCACTTTATCTTTTTTTTCAAACCAGTCTTGGAGTAACCCCAAAGCCCTGCTGTGGGACTTTGGAAAAGTGCTGTGAATAAAAGCAGATACTTTTTAGCTAACATGAGGCACTTGCAAAAGAACAGAGCGCTTGTGTTTCTTATATCCCCAGTACTGCCCGTATTACCTAGCACTTAGTAGGTCCTCAGTAAATGTTTAATAAATAAGTGACTTAAAATTTCAAAACCCTGGCTGAAGTACACTTCTCATGTAAAGCTGCGGCAGTTGCACTTAGAAAATCCAATAATATGCAATATTTCAGGGCACTTTAAAAATCCATAACATGCAAAATCCATGATAGGGAAAATCTATGGCACGTAAAACCTCAAGTAAAATTGGAGCAAAGTCTCAGGCAAGATGAAGGAGATAACATCACTTTCCTGTGTGTCTGTAATGCTAAAGTTCAATCTTGCTGAAGCAAGAAATAGCAGGCCTGTTATTACTGACTCCAAATCTTACCTTGATGAGTTATGTTGATTGGTAGAGATAATTCTAAAAGCTAAATATTTTTAATGGTGTCAAACTACGCTCTAAGGAAATTTACTGATTTAATTTTGGCATGAGGAGAAAGTTTTTTCTCCCAAAGCTCAGAAGAGAGAAAAGAAAAACAGAACATAAAAACTTAGTTTTATGAATATAAATGTTAACATTCTCCGTAAATCACCGAGGCTTAAATACATGTAACCGTTCTTTAACCACGTCCAGTTAAGGACTTGGACACTGGTCCAGACTCTAAAGTGTTTTGAAGTCATCCAAGTATTGTATTCTACACTTTGCAAGAGAAATGTTTGCCAGAGTTAGTTGACAAAGACATTTGTGTTGGCCTGAAAAGCCGTAAGCTAATCACTTATTGGGTCCTTTAGAAACAACTTGATTAATGTTTGGCAAGAAATTCTGACCAAAATTCTCCATTATATGAATCCAAACACAGTCAGGCTTTGAAGATCCTGAGCAAGGCATAGTCGCATTTGGCTATTGTTGCTTGGTGGGGAAAAGTTCCACAATGGGTCAAGTGGTCCATGTATCACCTTTTGGTACACTTACCTGGCCCTAAGCCAGCATGTAGAGTTAACTCTGTCGTCTCATTTACTTCTGCATTTTCTGTGGAACAGTTAAAATCTATAGAGCTATTTTAGTAGACGTATGATAGGTTATAAGTCAGTAAATTAAGTAGCTTATATTTAACTACAAGTATACTGTTGATGCCAGTTTACCCCAAAATTAAGAAGGCAATGTTGCACATTGCAGAAAATTCCCTCAGTGTCCAGGCTTTGTTCTGCGAGCTAGCAGAGGATGTCAGAGCCCTGTGGTATTCACTCTACACTCACTCTTTTTGTGTCTGACTCAGCCTGAGGGCTTTCTCGGCCTTGGGCACATGCCTGACTCTGGGAGCTAAGGCCCCCAGGAGCAGTGCCTGGTCCCATAATAACAGGTGAAAGATAGTGAGTAAATACCCTGTTTCCTGATGCTTTGTGGAAGGCAACTTTTGGACTATCCATTCTTCAGAGTGCCTGACGGAATTGAGTTACAGTTACACACAGTGACTGACTTTCTTGTTAACATTCGCTTCCTTCCCCTACTTATCTTACCGTCCTGCTCTTCCACTGTGCTTCTAGGGCAGCTGGATAGTTGCAGAATGAGGCCTGGCCTGGAGGTGTAGATTTGCAAGTCACTGGGAAGTAAAGGGTGACCAAACCCGTGGAGAGGATAGGACATCTATCCTCCTAGGACATCTAGTGGGCATATTGAGAGGCCAGCTCCTTCTTCACAGAGCATGTGTTTGAGCCACTTCCTGTAGGCAAGAGAATGTGTTCTTTGTGTTATTCCTCTAATTATGGGGTACCATGGAGCCTTGGATGGCTAAAGTCACTGACTCCTCGTAATTATCTCCCTCCATGTT